TTAAACTTACCTTTAATCTATAAAGATCGATTAGATCTTGAACAAGTATATAAACATAAACAATATGAATGCAATAAAAAGAATAAGTCAAGATGGAATCAAACGTGTCGAATGATTAAACAAAATCCTCAGAAGAGCTCGATTATGAACATCAACTGTAGAGGATTGGAAGGTTACAGGAACGATCAAAGAAACCTGTTATCGTCTAGATGTATCGCTATTTTCAGATCTCTAAAAACCTTAACCTAATATGCATGCAAGCGTAAACTTATATACAAAACATAAAAGGTTCACGGCTGGACAGGCCCAACCGGAATACTAAAAGGCTTATGCTTAACGAGCCCAAAAGACGCAATCTTCAAAAATAATTTCTAGCCCAACAATCTCCCCCTTTGCGTCAATTTGGAGCGAGACCTTCACTAGTTACTTGGGCCAGCAGCTGAAGCAGGTACCTTCTTCTTCACGGTACTAAACAGACATTTGGTGATGGAGAGAATGGTCTGTCTAAACCGGATGTACCAATTAATCATATCTTCAAAGTACTTGATGTCATCAGCCGAGTTCTCTTTACACCGTTTGATAATGAACAGCACATGCTCCAAACAAGTTGTGGTGTAAAGATGCTTGTCAGCTAAAGCGAAGAGACATTTCTGTCCTTCCGCTCTAGTGAACATAACCGAGTTGCGTCTCGGGTCGATCCTGCCCAATAGCATTTGGTTGAGATCACTGGCCGATCCCACAGGAGCAATCTTTGGTTTCTTCTTGAAGACTGTGGCGACCTCCTGATCCATTAGGGCAACCTCCATGATGTAGCAGGCTAACATCCTTTTGACATGGTCTAGAATGGGACCATATTCAGCTTCATTAGTCAAAAGGATATTATACAGGACAATCCAATCATGAGGATTTAGATTCGGTAGATCTGCCAGGGAGATAAGATGAGCAGTTCTTGCAGATCCCCGAATCAACTTGAACCGAACATTTATAAAACGACCTTCAGTATAAGGTTTCAGCACCCGAACGTTTACAATCTTCTGGGCGCTCCAAGTAAGGAATTGTGGACGAGCAGCCGCCAGATAGAAGTCAATGAGCTCCCTGTCAAGCTCAGCGTTCGGGTGAGGGACTTCAAAGATGTTTGAGAAGACGTGGAAGATGAACGCCTTTCGAGTCAGCGGCATATCGAACTGCGAATCGACAGTGTTGTTGCAGTCGAACGAGATAACCGGCTCGAGCCATAAAATGCTAGGAGTTTCAATGGCCTCTTTAATCAAACGTTCCCTGGTCCAGGCAGGGAAGAGAGTCTTTCGGCTCTCAAGGAGATCGTGGGCTTCTTTTTGTTTGCGTTCGGCTTCTTCAGCCTCTCGCGCCACACGACTGGCATTTTCATCAACCTTGCGACTGTTCTTTCTTTTTAAAATGTCAGCAATGGTCTCCT